ACTGATAAGACGATGTCAGAGGAATTGGTGCGCAATTAATCGTCACTCACCAATCAGTGCTGCCGCTCTCTATACACCGTTGACGCGATCGCAAAGTGACAGTGAAAGCAAAAAACAAGCGCAAATTCAAACGCGATTTCAATATGTCACATATTGACAGTGGCTCATCGATGCCAATGACATAATTACTCAGCTACATTTTCAAAAGAATGCAAAAGCATTGACATATATTTTTCCTTGCTATGACAGCCCGACGGACAGGGCAGAGAGAGATTTTGGTAGCCCGACTGGAAAAGAGTGTGATACATGTGTGCCCAAAGAACACTTCAAAAATTTACAGTTTCATTTAAAGTTTGATGCAAATTAAAACATTTGCAAAGGTGGCTACAGCAATAGTATGGAGGGAAAAAAAGTAAAGCACTAATACCCGCTCTCATAATAATGCTTGTATACGTGCTTGGGTCTGTATGGCTTCTCTGCACCTGCTCTCAGCCTAACAACATTGTCTTTATTGCGACTTTGGTGAGCTAATGTAATCTGCACAAAGATGCCAGAGAAAACAAACAGCATTGTAATGAAGCGCTTTAAGAATAAGCTCTAAAACTAACAAGTAACTAAAGCATAATTTATTGTCCCAAAAATGTGCCAGTCTGCGTTCAGGTTTGCTTTTGGACAGAGTACAGACGGAGGTTTTCACCCATCACAAACTTGCCACCGCAAAATCCCAAATACACGTCACTGGATGTGAATATTGATCGGTTGACAAGTGAATAGGGAGGGATGTAAAAGCAGAGATTACCGGGAATAGGAGAAGTGTGGAAAAATCAAAGATTGTAAAAACAGTAAAAGTACAGACAGCGCCTGCAGTGGACACTTCATTGATTTTAAACACTGTTAATCTTCAGCTCTTTGTACATTAAAAGTTTGCTCTTTTCTGAAGCTTGCTGACAGACCAACAACAGGACAAGATAGCTCAAAGATCAGTTGTATTAATAGTTTCTTTTTTTTTTAACCCTGGCTCCATCTGACCACAAACATTCTCTGCAGGCAGACAGGCTGTCAGTGACCACCCACAGATTGCATTCGTGCATCAATTTGCATCTTAATGATCAAGGCACTGATCTCCCAGTCCACTGCTCCTTCGGTGGTGCTAGTTTCAGTCATTATGCAAATGTACTGTTTATAAGATTGGGGAAACCTGCAGTCAGCCGAGACTGAAGAAGTCACTTGGATAAGTGACGAAACGTTTCTCCCACTGAAAACGCTACATCCAGATAAACAGAATCAACTTTTGGGGATGTTGAAGATTGCATTTATGCTTAAAAGAAATCAAATAATGTGAACCTAAAACTAAAGAAAAGAAAAGAGGGGAAAAAAGTACTTTGGTGATGCTGATTTTGTAGTGGGGAGATCCTGATTATGATGCAGATCCAACCAAGCAATCAGCCTTCCAAACCCCTCTGTACTCAGTGAAGATTCAATGTCTCAAAACACACCACATACTCCGAGAGCACACAACATGTGAACTGTTTTCCTGTCAGCTAGAGACCTCAGTGGAATGGACCTGATTGATGAGTAAAAATAAAATCTACAAAGCTCAGAATTCAAAACTTACCGAGTTGTTTTCTCTGCTGTCTTCATCTGCAGACTCTTTTTCTTCTGGGTCCACGGTTTGGTTCAGGTCATCCTCATCATAGCGATATACAAGGCTTCCTACACGCCCCCCTATTGATGTGAGATAGGGGGAGTCACAAAGACACAGAAGTAAAAGAAATTAATTAGGAAGCAAAATCATTATTTTATTTCACACATAACTAATTTTGAGTGATATCATTCTAACTATTGAAACCTCAAAGTAAGCCAGCCTATGAGACAACAGGAAATAGCCAAAGAAAGAGTTCGTCCTCAGTTTTAAATTGTCTGTTCTAGCCCTCATTGTCTAGACTAAAGCTCAGCAACACTGGGACCTCACTAATGATCACTATACTCTGAAAACTTTACCGACTCCCTAAATTGGCACTTACTCATGAATCCCTGCTCTGAAAGCTTCTGTGCCAACTAACAACCACATGTCATATCTCTCTCGCTCTCAAGAAATTTACTTTAAGCTTTAAAATTAGAAGAGCTCAGTGGACAAAAAGGTCCCCTTATACTGATGTATAGTTTATCAATGGGTTAATAATGTAAAGCGGTTTTGCTACTGGTTTAGTTGCTTCCAGTGGAGTACATTACGCACATCCATCTGTAGCTAATGACTACTTAATTTGAGATTAATCTGATAATTATTCTGTCCATTAACAAATTGAAATGTGGGTTAGTAAAATTAGGATTACAATGATCTTATGTCACAAGTCATAATCCAGCAGTCCAGAAACAAATCAGTATATTTGTTCCCTGTGTGCCAACAGACAGGCTTTGGCTCTTTAAGAAAGGACGATATGAGAAATAAACATAATAAGGCCAACATGAAAACTGCCAGTGGATCACAACTATGGGAAAATATACTGGGATATAGGTTTGTACATTTCCGGTAGCTTTGTTTTGCAGTCAATTGCTACTGCGAAGGTGTACTCAAAAATCATATCCAAAATACGAAAACGGAAAGATTGCGTTAAATTACAAAGAGCAGAGGGTGGGAACATTCACCATTGCTGTGTCATAAAAAAAATCAAATGATCAATTTTGATGTTTGAAGAGCGTAGATCGATTGTTTGTTTACATCACTCAACACAAGCAGAACTGCATTACTGCATGCAGAAGACACATCGTCCACATTCAGAAGCACATCTCTGTGTAGTGATTTAAACAGGCAAAGGAACGGCAGTAAAAACTTCGGACCTGTGACAGCATCAAGTACGCTGGTGTTCCAATTGTACAAATCGCGAGTCCGTGCTCGTGTTCTCGGCAAGTCCGGACTCGCCGAGAACGCGAGTACGGACTACGGAGAATTGAGAAAGGGCCTATCTCACCAGTGAACGAGGTTATCTCGGAGTCAAGAACACAACCCGGTATCCTGACACAAAACGCACCCTCCTCCGTTAACTAAAGACGCATGTTAATTTCCGTTTGGCAACAGTTTCTCTCAATAAAAAAAACACCACCCAGCGAAATATGCGCATATTATTTTTTACGAACAAAATAACATGAACATGAAGATCGTCTAACTAGCTACATGCTAACGTTAGCTCCCACATGAAGTTCCACAGTAAGGCTAGCGGAACTAGTATTTCATAGTCGTTAAACGTATGAAAGGAAATTAAATACGTTTATATACCTGATTCTTCTTGTTCAGGGTCAGAGTCGGGCTCTGAATCATCTCCATAGACCGCTAAAGACGACAGCAGCGTACTCTTTTTACCGCTCGCCATTTCTGTGTAGTATCGCATAAACGGTGGGTCGCAGAATAATAACGTCATCAAAACGGTAACACACCGAAGGAACCGGTCTGCCACTGGGAAATGTAGTCATTTTGTTGGCCAGCGTTCATTCTATTGTTGTACCAGGAAGAAGCTTTAAAAATACTTGTGTAAATCCGTTACAGTTTACACCCAACACATGTACTTTCTAGGTATTGTTTCACAGACACGAAACACTAAACTACATTTATGCCAACCAAAACTTATAAAATCTGAATGATTTCATACTAATATGTCCAGTTGTGATGCTAAGACTTTTTAAAAGTCTCATTTAAATTTTATTCTGCTTTCATGCACTAACTGTTATGCATTTAACCTGTGCTGCACATTACTGCATACATAACCTGTTCTATACACCTCCTGCAATATCTGACAACATGGTATTTGACTTTTTTTTGACATACTAGAAACACTTGATGCACAAAAACCAACACGTTTTATACATCACTGTAAAGCAAACCAACCTTCAGAACAAACACCCAGTATCCAGTAGGAGTTTAATAACAAAAATTATTTTGTTATTTTGCATTTCTTTGATCTTATATGATTTTCTAAGGTACTGTGAATATTTAATCTCTAGTTGTAAGAACTAATTAATATTTGGAAAACGAATGTGATCCATCTTCACTAATAACCCAAAGGAAGTGGTTTGAGCAAGGACTCATTCGAAAACTAGTAAATTGCTGTTGTTTCCTCTTGATTACATATGACATGGTTTTGAATAAAGCTGTTATGATTCTGCTGTTGCCATACTTTTTGGTTCTTGTGTTTCTGAATATTTTACTCTTCTGTGTGCTTTCTTTCTCCCCCTTCTCTACTTATTATAGCTGTTCTGTTCTTTTTTGGGGGCCTCTTTGGGTTCACTTTGCATTTTACTTTGAAGGTTAGTTTCTCGCAGGGCTGTGTTTTTACTTCCCTCCACTGTTCTTTTACCTTCCTTCCTTAATACCTGGATTGAATTCATGTGTGTCTTATTATCCCTCAACCTGGTTTCATGTGTAATCACACTGAAATCACATCGAAACAGTCACTTTTTACTATGTGTGAGCCTAAAAAGTTCACTAGATAAACATATGAATTTACACAAACATTTGTGTAGCTTGACAGAATGGTTGTGGATCATTTCAAATCACAAATGCTAGTCAAACTTGGAATAAATTAGAAGAAAAAGTTTAATAGTTATTAGTGTAATAGGGTTATGATATTAGTGGCTATTTTTCTTCTGCAATATTTAAATATTTTCTTCTTGTAGTGAAAAGTACTTTGAGTGCTCAGAGTAGAAAATGCAGTCCATTCACCGTTTTACAATTCTTACAATCAGCTGCTTGGCAATGACGCGTTACAAAGTGGAACAATGGTTTGGCGTCTGTGATGTGGTCTGGCCATTTTTGTGGATACTGAAAAAATATATGGGCATTTTAATTTCATTCAAATTTTGGTTGAAGAAACCTTAAAAAAAAAGAAAAAGAGTCCTATTCTATGTAGCAAAGAAATTCAAAAGAGGAAAAGTGTACATTTTCTCTTTTATCTGAACACACTTAAATGACTCTGTCCTTTGAATTCTTCTGCCTTCTCTTTGTCTTCTTGTCTCCTGAGCTGCAGCAGCATCCATACATCAGAGCAAAGATGACCAGAGAGAGAATTACCAGGACAAACACTCCAATGACGGCAATACCACCCAGTGCCCACGGCTCCTGATGCATACGATGAAGGAACCACTCCACCCAGTCCTCAGGTGACCCTGTGGGTTTCTGCTGGTCTAGTACACTGTATAGAGAATGATCAACCAGATGAAAACCAGGTAAACCTGCCCTGATATTTACCAACTCACACAATCTTATTAATACCATCATTTGACACTAAGAGCTGAAAGAAGCACATTATCTGCCAACTAAAAAAGTTATTTCACACTACAAATATCTAAGCAACAGATAGGTTATATTTTTATTGGCACGGCCCATTAATCTGCAGGTGTTAAGGCCTTTCGTCACCTAGCATATTCATTTTCAGAAACTCACCTCTCCACCGCCATGTCCTGCCAAGTGAACGGCTCACTGAGTCTTAACAGAACGTGAAAACACAGCAGAGTATGACAACAGAAAACTTCGACTCTTCAGCTGCTTTTCTGATCCACAAGCCGAACTGGAAGTTTTTTTTTTAAATAGTCCAAAATAACAGTTTACTTTCACTTCGAGCGCAGGAGTGGTGTTCTGAATATGCAAACGTAGCACAGTTCCTGTTTGCATTTCCAGGTGACTGCCATTTCAAAGTAAAAGCAACAGCTCATGGTTAATGTTTAAACTCACAATGGCAAAGAGGAATTCTGCTGATAAGGAATGTGCACGATGGAGCAACGAGTCACTGATGACATTTTGATCCTCGTGCTTATAGACTGTGGTGACTCCGTTAGGTATAAGAACAAAGATATGTTTATTTAATTAAAGTATTTAACATCTGATACATTTACAAAAGCAAGAAGGAGCAAAAACACATAAAAGTGGCGTCTCAGAAACACTGCCTTTCCTGTATGTCACACTACTATTTTACAATATAACGGGAATACATTTAAAACTGTTGCATCAAACAATGAATAGTTCACATTTTCCATTGGCACGATTTGCGTCGCTGAGCCAGCAGGGGGCGCTTTGTTTTTGAACAAAGCAATGTTTCTGCTGAACTTCGTGTCCAGAGCACACATACATGTTGGAATGTACACTGTCCGTGTTGTTGCTCACATTCCTCCTGAATGTGAACATCATCGCAAACCACATTTGTAATAACTGAGTCACTGTGACATTTCAGGACATATCAGCTTTGTTGCTGTGTCTCTTTGCCAATGAAACTCTGCCACACAGTGTTACATTGTTCTGGTTTATAATGAATCTTGATGAGTTGTGCCTCTCAGCTGCATTGCAGTGGTGTGGCTCTCTGGATGATAATCGAGTACTGGAAATATCATGGCACCAACTTC